GTATTAAAATTATCAATTAAATCATAATTACATTCATCATTATTTTCTAAATGCAAGGAATTATTGTTAAATGTATTGTTTAGTGAAATACCAAAAGGATCTAAAATCAGAGATTGTAGCCTATTAAAATTAACCTTATGGTCATGGAAAAAATATGTAAGTTCATGTTGAAATTCATTATTATCTAAAATCATATTAAACGGAAATAACGTACCTGTACAGTCAAAGCATATCCAATTGAAGTCATTGCAACAGTGAATATGACAAATATTATTACAATTAATACAGCTTATAACATCATGCTTTACTACTTTGGTGCATATAAAACAGTTCATGAAAAGTATTTAATAAATAAAAAATTAATTAAGTTATATTTCTTAACTGAGTAAATCAGACTGCCAGTGAGAACAAGATATTGATAACACCCCCAAAACATTGACAATAATATGTTTGCAACATAAATAAAATAAAAATAACTAATTGCATTACGGATATAAACATAATTCATTATTATTAGTTTAAGGCCAGTAAAAATAAAATATTAAATAGCAATATTTAGTTCTTATATGCAGTAAATTCTAAATGAAATATACTACTGTACTTTCTTTTTATTTTTTCTCTGGAAATAACATTGTAAGGCATATTTCAAACTTTTCTTAATAAGTAAAGTCTTATACAGTAAGTTCCATATGTACATATGTATCGGATCACTTCCGGAACACTATGAGGTACATGCAGTATGCAACTTTGTAAGACGTATTATATTATATAACTTTGTAAGGCGTATTTCAGACTTTACTCAATACGAAAGTTCTTATAACTTCCGTCTGAACATTTGTCTCGGATCGCTGCCGGAACGCTGTGTGGTACATTATGCGAATTCCACAATATCCAGGTTTCTTAACTTTTGTAGGTGGTTTTCACTCAATACCCTGTTCATTTTAAACTTTTGCCGATACACATTTTTGCCCTTGGTTTGGATGATCTTTTTTGCAGCCTGACGAAGAGAAGGACTTTACAGTAGATTGGTCGACTACCAGGTGGTATACTGGCAAATGCTGCACGGTGTGCACGCTCAATTTCGATCTTTCCTGGAATTTCCATATGCGAGTTAAATATTATCCATTGCCGGTTTGTTGACAAAAATGGTGACATTATAGATAATAAGATTTTTCTGTTAGATCTATTCTGAAGATCGTTAATTTTTGGCTCTAGAAATTTTCGATAAGTTTTTTTGAATCAATATCCTTAAATTTATCAACACAATCTTCAACGATGGCAATGTTTGCTTTTGAATAATCGATATCGTTCTCGTTGTCCTGAATCAGTTCCTCGGCCTTCGCTAACCTACTTGTCAATTTATCCATGTTACTGTTAATATCCAGAATGCTGTAGATGATAATACTGTATTTCCAGTGATGGCGCCAACG